CTGTACTGTATGAAGAAGAACAGGGCATCAGGATTGGAGGAAGACTCATTAACAACCTATGATAAAATATGCAGATGACACAACCTTGCTTGTTGAAAGTGAAGAGGACTTGAAGCACTTACTGATGAAGATCAAAGACCACAGCCTTCAGTATGGATTACACCTCAATGTAAAGAAAATAAAAATCCTCATAACTGGACCAATAAGCAACATCATGATAAACGGAGAAAAGACTGAAGTTGTCAAGGATTTCATTTTACTTGGGTCCACAATCAACATCCATGGAAGCGGCAGTCAAGAAATCAAGCATTGCATTGGGCAAATCTGCTGCAAAAGACCTCTTTCAAGTATTAACAAGCAAAGATGTCACCTTGAAGAATAAGGTGCGCCTGACCCAAGCCATGGTGTTTTCAATCACCTCGTATTCATGGAAAAGCTGGACAGTGAATAAGGAAGACCAAAGAAGAACTGACACCTTTGAATTTCGGTGTTGGCAAAGAATACTGAATATACCATGGGCTTCCAAAAGAACGAACAAATCTGTCTTGGAAGAAATACAGTCAGATGCTTCTTAGAAACAAGGATGGCGAGACTACAACTCTCATACTTTGGACCTGTTATGAGGAGGGATCAGTCCCTGGCAAAGGACATCATGCTTGGCAGAGGGTCAGCGAAAAAGAGGAAGACCCTCAAAGAGATAGACTGACACAGTGGCTGCATCAGTGGGCTCAAGCATAACAATGATTGTGAGGATGGTACAGGACTGGGCAGTGTTTCATTCTGTTGTACATAGGGTTGCTATGAATCAGAACCAACTCAATGGCACCTAACAAGCTGAGGTGGTGGAGTCTGGATGAAAAATACTAACAGTAGGCATAAAAGGCTGAGTGTCTTTTGAATGTAAAATTGATCTATTACCTTAAATAAGAACAACAACAGAATAACAAAAGAAGCCTGTAGTGGCCAGAGAGGACAGAGTAAGAACTGGAGTGTGTGACATCAGTAAACAGAGAAGGGAAATGTAACAAGAAGTTAATCATACTGCTCCTTTGTTGTTTGTTTTTCATTCATATTCTTTAACTCCAGGTGCATTCATATCCTTTAACTCCAGCTGGTAGCTCCCTAGAAACGACTGGGCCATGATTCCTGGGCCTGTCTCAGCAAATTCCTATGCTATATGTTCAGTGGGACAGAATCCCAGAACTCAACAACATTCAGCATATTTATTGAATGTATCTTAGTGGGGTTTCTTTTTCTGTATTTACTAAGCATTGGTTCTCTTTTTTAGGACAAGATCCTGCCCAACCTATCTTGTATTTTTGCTTTACTGCTAGCTGACAGGAACTGGCTGCTAGAACAGCACACCTTGGAGGCGTTTACTCTGTTTGCTGAGGTGCGTGTAGGACCAGTCCATCACGATTCCAAAAACATTTATTGAGCCGCTTTTATATTTGTAGAATTTTTTAGCTGGAAGGAATATTTTTGTTGTTAGGTGATGTCAGGTTGATTTTCGACTCATAATGACAGACACATATGTGACAGAGCAGAACTGTCTCATAGGTTTTTCTAGGTTGTAATCTTTATGAGAGCAGATCGCTCTTATAAAGCGCAGGTCTTTTTCCTGAGGAGCCACTGGGTGGGTTTGAACCAACCTTTATGTTAGCAACTGAACACTTAACCGTTTGCGCCACCTGGGCTCCCTGAAGGAAACATTATTAATCATCCATTTTACAGGAAATAAACGAAATGACTTCCTAAGGTCCTCTGGTTAGCAAGGCATTCAAACTAGGTCTATTATTAGCTCTGTCTTCCAGATAGCATTTCTAGGTTGAGTGATAATACATTACATCTTGAACCTATCGTTTAGGTTGACAAAACCTGACCCTGTTAATTCGGTTCTGCAGAGAAGGTACCTGGCATGGGTGCTCCTTCAGTCTTACTCATTACTGTGCGTTTGTGCCATTGGTTGTGAGGGGTGCAGAGGAATAAGTATGACTGACCCAGAGTAACTGAAGCTCACACCCTACACGTGTACATAAGTTAATACTGTGTTCTCCTAAGGCACCCTGGAAAACCATGAGCTTATCTTCTCTTGACCCTCTGGCACTAAGTACTTCCTTTTAAAATGCATTTTTGGTTAAGGTGGCTCTTAAACTCACTTATTTGCCTTTGCAAATTGTTGAAATGTATCAAAATTAGTCTTGCTTATCAATCTTTTAATAGGGAACAAATCATGAAGAAATAGTTCCACAGTGCCTCAGTTCTGAAGAAACTAAGAACAAAGTTGTATCCTTTCTGGAAAAGGTATTTATTTAGAATCAAGATAGTAATTTTTTTTTTTTTTTTCAAAATTATATACTCGTTACCAACTTGAATGTCTTCTTAGTTTAAACTTTTCACAGTGGTGACACTGAATGTTGTTAAGTTGAGACATATTATAAGTTGCAGACATAAAACACTGAGGACCCAGGCGGTGGGATGACTAACGTGGAAAACACTGTACTTGAGGATGCCTAAACTGTTACGAATCATAACTACACATGTAGAATAGGAGGCCCGAGAGCAGCACCTGTTTATACTGTCTCAGATATCATTTAGGCATGGCTTTTCTATACTGATTGAGACCAAAATCTTTTTCAAGACCATGACATTTTTTTAAAAGCCATTTTTATAGTTGGAAACAAAATATTGAATAGCTTAGCTCCCTTGTTTGTACATATTTTGAAATTTATGGGTTATAATGTTAGGTAAGTTAAGGGTTAATTTAAAACTACTGATAGAACTTTTACACCACAGATTTGGAACACCAGGAGAAAATGAATTATGGTTAAAAATACTTCATTTCTTTGTTTTTATAATATCCCTATCATTAAACTGGGCTACATTAAAAAACAATGGACTGATCAAATCCAACACACTTAATACATATTGTATTAAATGTATTATATAAGTATATATATGTACATATAAGCCAAATTTAAGTGTGTGTGTGTGTCTGTACGTTGCCAGTTTCTTAGAGTTCGGCAGACTGTCATTTTTCCCTGGTAAGAGGACTCTACAGCAGTTCTGTAGGGGAAGAGAGCACTGCAGAGTGATTTTATCCAAATTACACTGATAAGCAGCATTTAATAGTAATGACCTCCAAAGTTACCAGTAAGTCCAACTAACTTCCAGACAGTTTGATTCAACAGGCTAAGAGAATTGCTTAACACTCAGAACTTACAAACACACACACAACAAATTATTTGGCCTTTTCATTTTCTGAACATCACACCATTTGAAATCTAACAGAGAACATGCATGCTGTTTACTTGGTTTTGTGGTCTGTGGCAGACTGGGCTTATAGATGAAACTGACGCCGCCAGAGTGGAACGTGTGAAACAAGAGAGAGGTATTTTCTCGGAGCCCTTTGTTAAGGTGACTGCAGAAGAAGCAAGGTGGTCGTCTTTACAGGTAGGGAGGGGCTTCTTTTCAGTATGGATCAAACTTTAGTAAGGGGGAAATTCTGCCCTTCTTACTTAGTGATAATGAAAACAGAAATTAGCGTGGTCTTGGCCTCATATTGACTTTCTAAGAAAGAAATCAAATACAAAGAACAGAGGTGGGGCTATCAAAACAATAAGTTTTGAAGATCACACCAAATATAACCTGAAGACAACTTTCATTTGTAGTAATCTTTGTGGAAGTTATATTGTACCAATGAGTGAGTAGTTTCTGAATCACAGAAAAAAAATCCATGAACTTATCTTCTGAACTGTTAATTTGATGCCTTGCCTCATGCATTATCAACCTATTAAAAGGCAGAAATCTGACACTGCTAAGGATAAGCAAAATATTGTTTTGAACACTAACAGTATATTTGAAATAGTAATCCATGAAAAGAGCAATGTTTTGAGACGTTTTAGTCACAATTCTTACAAAAAGAAAACTTTAAATGTGTATCAGTAGTAACTTGTTTAAGACATGTAACTTTTATGCCTGCAATCTGTAAAGTTAAAGATAGCACAGTAGGGCCAGACTCACTGTTGTACGCTACATAGTTTCCTAGGCCCTGGGCACTAAATGGTAGAGAGTAGCACCCAAATCACCAACAAACCAAAAAATGCTTTCACATGGTTTTCCAGATGACGCGAGGAGCTTGCCCTTTTGGAGAAGCGATGGACTAGTCTACAAACTTTTTTTTACAGTTTTAGAAGTTGTTCTAATAAGCTTTCCTGTAGTCCAAAAGGAAGGTTCTTTATTGTGGCTGTTATGGCATTACCTGTCACACATTTTCCTCCTTTTGCAGCCATGTGCAAAAAGAGCCCGTCACGAGCCCCCCTTAGAAGAGGAGTACAGAGCAGCAGTACAAACAGCAGCTGGAGCCTTGGAGGCAATTGAGTTATTACTCCAGAAGTCTCCTGCACCAGACTGGCTGCTGATGAAAATGGAGGTGCTCCAGGGAAAGATTCAGAAGCTAAAACGCTGTTCACTCTAGGGTGGAGACTCGGAGGATTGGACCTTATTATCACGAGACATAAGTGGGCATGTGCTGCACTGTCAACCTACGGTGTAGTGTGTCAATCAAACTAATGATGTAATTAGTATGTCTGTGTATTTTCTAACACATAAAACAGCTTTTGTAAAGTTGAATCTAGTGAAAATAGTCTTTATTGGACATTTAGAGAACAGGATAGTTGGGGATATTTCTCACTGAGAACTTTGGTACAACGTAATACAAGTCGAATGGTCAGTAACTGCCCAGGTCCAAACAGGACCATTCACTCAGATAGATAGTATGACTGTAAACAAATAAATAAGCTGCCTAAGGAAGCCTTAATCATTTAAAATCATTTATATACTTTATAGATAATTTTCTCCAGTACATCATATTCCATAATACAGCTTACTGTCACAGCAACCGGCCTCAGTCAAGTGTACTTGGCCTCTCCCACCTAGAAACCAGCATTGAGGTGCTGCCCCTCAGGCTTTCAGCCGCCCCACCACTTGATGTCTCACATTTCAGTTGGCACAGATGGGAAGAGAGCTCCTGGTATAGGAAAAACAGGCTGTTCTGGGTCTTCTTGTCCTCAGAGCCTGCTTTCGAGGTATTAATTTGATTAAAGGAGAAAAAAAAAGGAATCTTTTTTCCTAAAGTTTAATTCATACCCGTTGTCACCAGCTATTATCTTCCCAGTTCAGCTCCCCTTCTTCTCCCCAGCCACCAGCCTCTCCCTGCAACAAAAGCACACCAAGAGCAACCCACTAAAAAATCATGTATCAGGAACTAAAGTGTAAAAGGGCAAAAAATAATACTTGTGAGGAGTGTGCTCCTTAGTTCAGTCAGATATACGAGACCAAACGGGCAGCTCCTGCCCAGAGGCAGGATGAGAAGGCAGGAAGGGGCAGGATGTGGTCAAATGGACAGAGGAAACCCGGGGTGGCAAGGGGGAAGGTGCTGTCACGTTGTGGGAATTTCAACAGTGTCATAAAACAATACGTGTATAAATTCTTGAATGAGAAATTAACTTGAGCTATAAACTTTCACCTAAAGCACACTTAAAAAAGAAAAGTAAAAGGGGCCTATGACTTGTAGGAACTAAAGAGCGAAAGGGGCCTATCATTTTCTTTTGATGCCAGAATTCGTTTCTCATGCTAAGTAAAATAAAAGAGGAGAGATTACTTTAGTTCCAATATTACAAAACCAGATGATGGGAAAATAAATTTTCAAGGATCATATATAATCCAATAAAATCAGTTTGATGACACCATATTCTTGGTTAACCTCTTTTCATCCAAATAATAAGGTTATTCATGTTAACAAGTGGACCATTAAACACTTAGCCTGAGCATCACTATAGTTTTCTGGGGAAGGAAAGATACCATTTATAGGAACTGGTATCATTTTATGCTTGATTTGACCATTTTAATCAATTAAATAGATTGATCTTTACCCTCACTAGGGAAACAACATGCTCATTAAAGATGGGATAGTACAACTGAGACCTATGAGGGACATCCTTAAACTAGTAGCACAATTTACTAATCCTCACCTCAGTAATTTCTGCCGCAGCAAATTTTGAGGAAAACTGCATCACTGGTGAGATATCATCCTGGTTGGGAACCATCATTTCTGTCCTTAGTTCAGGTAAAATAAGAAAAGCAGCTGAAGGTTTAATTTCTGGGATCATATCAGCAAACCAGTCCAACTCAGGATCTTGTACTGGCTTCTTCTTTACTTGAATGGTAAACTCCTCTCCTAAACCAAGTTCTGATGGAACCTTGAGCAGCCTTTCTTGTGATGACACTTTTGGTGGCTTGATGTGGTTTGGGTCATCCTCACTTTCTACAAGCCTGGTCTTTGGGGAGGGGCTTGATTTCAAAGGCCCAGACTCCTCAGTGGACGGAAGCACAGCAGGAATGGGCTTCTGCTTCCCCAAGCTAACAGGTATGGCAGCAGGGACTCCGCCTCCAAGGTTTATTTTAGTATCTAAGTTGCTGGGCTGAAAGTCATCCCAAGACTCCTCCTTCATAGTGAATGGAGACTCGGCAGCATCACATGGCTCTCTAGGCCAAATCTGTATGTTGACAGTTTTGTTGTCAGGCTCCTCAGGCTCGCTCCAATCAGGCCACTCTTCAGACTTTTTGGAATTTAATGGGAAGTTTTCACTGTCCTCTGAAGTATTTTTCACATCTGAGATTCCATTCATGGCAAATTTAACAGGCTGAGAAAACTGATCACCTATGGAATATGTACAATAATTATTCTTGTAACATGTTGGTTAAGAGCAAGCAATACATTTAGGGGAAGGTTAGCAGTAACCCAAGCTAAAGAAATAAATGGAGCTAATTACTTGGAAATATCCATGCACACTTAACTGCAGAAAAGATGTCCCAGCAGAATATTACCAACATCAGAAATGTCAGGGGAAGTCATCCAAATACTTAAATGTAACCCAATGGAAGCATACCAAGTAGCAACTAACTGGAGCACCCAATCCTTCACTAAATATTCACACAGTGTTTACTGTCTATAAACAAATATACCAATGCTCTAAGCCAGGCACTATTTCCCTCAAGATGTTAATTACATGCACACTGAAAAAGCGTGTGCTCAAATAAGCTTGCCTTCCCTAACACACCCTAGTTTTAAAGAGACTTCCTTAAGTGTAACCACGGCACTATGAAATCTTGTCTAACGTGTTGTGAAGCTCTACTGCTAACACCTCCGCAGGCTGCTTAACCACAGAACTCTTCACCCATACCTACTAACATCCTCCACAACTACTGTTCCTTGGTATGATCTGGAACATGCTGCACTAAGGCATCAAAAGTCCCAAAGTAGAGAATCTGGTGTAAAAAGAATTCAAGTGGTGTCAATAGGCTCTTCTCACCAGTTATGGGGAAAAAGTAGGTATACAGGCAGTCCCCGGGTCACAAATGTCCAACTTATGTACAACCTGTAGTTACGAACCAACCCCCGTAAAGCCTATTATGTTAAAAATCCAAGGTACATACAGTCGTTAGTAATCAACAGGCACTAGCCTATCAAAACCTTATCACTATAATATTATGTTAAAGATGTTTTAGTGTAGCTGAAGTATTTAATTTTTTTATGCATAGAAAGGTACACTATGTACTATATACACTATGTACTATATACTAAGACAAACATCTGACTGACATTAGACACAAACCACACCTAACTGTTCCGACTTATACAATTTCAACTTAAAGACAGACTTAGGAACAGAAGTCATTCGTAATTCGGGGACTGCCTGTATACCTAATAGTCCAGGGCAACAAAATGAGCCCAATGCTGACTACACGATCATATACAGTAAAACCTGCAAAAGCCAGAACGTGTGTAAGGCGGAAACCCGTCAGAGAAGGAAAACTAAAATATTTTCCACTAATAGAGAACAACAGGAAAGTAGTAAGACTACACCCTGTCAAAGGCAGAAAACTTGCGAGACCCAGAAAACAAGGCAGTCCCATTGAGTTCCGGCTCTCACAGGTTTCACTGTATAATAAAATTTAAGTATCAAAATTCCCAAAATGGCCTTAACTTTCAGAATTTACATTTATCATTCTCAACAAAGCATTCATCCAAGCAATAGAAAAGCTATATAAATTTAATTATTTTTATCCTTCTGTAAAAGAGTGTTGTAGTAATCGCGCTGTATGTGCTTGTGCTGCTGATGGGCATGTTGCCAGAAAAGAAACATTTAGGGAATAGGCTAGAGGAGGGGTTCTCCAAGATTGGCAAAATCTGACTGTGCTGGCTGCAAACAATGTGCATGGGAGAATCTGAAGGTAAATAAAAAGCCCAAAGAGTGAAAGGGACAGTACATTTCTTCTTGATCTATCACATGTTAAGTGAGAAATAAAGGTTAAGGGAAATGGATGTAATTAACACAGATAAAAGATAAGTTGCAGAGAGAGACAGCATCTTTCCCTATTTGAAGACACACACCTATTATGGATGGATTGCCTGTCCCTGGAAGTGTTTAAGCACAGCATGAATGTCCATGGGATGGTAATGGAACAGAAAGGACTCAAGCATTAGGCAAGGAGTTGGATTAGATAAATTTTAGGATACCTTGTTATAAAACTTACAGCCTTTAAAAACATTTTGGAGACAAGAACCACATGTATCTTACCAATCGAAGCAGAAAAGGTATTTGACAAAGTCCAACACCCATTCATGATAAAAACTCAGCAAAATAGGAATAGAAGGGAAATTCCACAATATAATTAAGGGCATTTATACAAAGCCAACAGCCAACATCATCCTAAATGGAGAGACTCTGAAAGCATTCCCGAGAACGGGAACCAGACAAGAATGCCCTTTATCACCACTCTTATTCAACATTGTGCTGGAGGTCCTAGCCAGAGTAACCAGGCTAGAGAAAGAAATAAAGGGCATCCAAATTGGAAGGGAAGAAGTCAAAGTATCTCTATTTGCAGACGATATGATCTTATATACAGAAAACCCCAAAGAATCCACAAGAAAACTACTGGAACTAATAGATTTTAGCAAAGTATCAGGATACAAGATAAACATACAAAAATCAATTGGATTCCATTACACCAACAAAGAGAACCTCAAAGAGGAAATCACCAAATCAATACCATTTACAATAGCCCCCAAGAAGATAAAATACTTAGGAATAAATCTAACCAGGGACGTAAAAGACCTATACAATGAAAACTACAAGACTCTACTGCAAGAAACCAAAAGAGACCCGCATAAGTGGAAAAACATACCTTGCTCATGGACAGGTAGACTCAACATTGTGAAAATGTCAATTCTACCCAAAGCGACCTACAGATACAATGCAATCTCGACCCAAAATTCCAATGGCATTTTTTAATGAGATGGAGAAACAAATCACCAACTTCACATGGAAAGGGAAGAGGCCTCAAGTAAGTAAAGCATTACTCAAGAAGAACAAAGTGGGAGGCCTCACACTGATTTTAGAACCTAGTATACTGCCACGGTAGTCAAAACAGCCTGGCATTGGTACAACAACAAATACACAGACCAATGGAACAGAATTGAGTATCCAGACATAAATGCATCCACCTATGAGCAGCTGATATTTGACAAACGCCCAAAGGCCATTAACTGGGGAAAAGACAGTCTCTTTAACAAATGATGCTGGCATAACTGGATATCCATCTGCAAAAAAATGAAACAAGACCTATACCTCATACCATGCACAAAAACTAACTCAAACTGGATCAAAGGCTTAAATATAAAATCTAAAATGATAAAGACCATGGAAGAAAGATAGGGACAACGCTAGGAGCCCTAATACACGGCATAAACACAGTACGAACCATAAGTAACAGAAGAAAGACTAGATAACTGGGAGCTCCTAAAAATCAAACACTTATGCTCATCAACAGACTTCACCAAGAGTCAAAAGACAACCTACAGACTGGGAAAAAAATTTTGGCTATGACAAATCCAATCAGCATCTAATCTCTAAAATCTACAAGATACTGCAAAACCTCAACAACAAAAAGACAAATAACCCAATTAAAAAATGGGCCAAGGATATGAACAGGCACTTTGCCAAAGAAGATATTCAGGCGGCTAACAGACACATGAAGAAATGCTCACGATCATTAGCCATTAGAGAAATGCAAATCAAAACTACAGTGAGGTATCATCTCACCCCAACAAGGCTAGCATTACTCCAAAAAACACAAAATAATAAATGCTGGAGAGGATGTGCAGAGACTAGAACACTTAAACACTGTTGGTGGGAATGTAAAATGGTACAACCACTTCGGAAATTGATTTGGCACTTCCTTAAAAAGCCAGAAATAGAACTACCATACCATCCAGCTATCCCACTCCTTGGAATATATCCTAGAGAAATAAGAGCCATCACACAAATAGATATATGCATGCCCATGTTCACTGCAGCACTGTTCACAATAGCAAAAAGATGGAAACAACCTAGGTGCCCATCAATGGACGAATGGATAAACAAATTATGGTATATCCACACAATGGAACACTATGCACAGATAAAGAACAAAGATGAAGCTGTGAAACATCTTACAACATGAAGGAATCTGGAGGTCATTATGCTGAGTGAATTTAGTCACAGAAGGACAAATATTGTGTAAGACCACTATTACAAGAACTCAAGAAAAGGTTTAAACACAGAAGACAACATTCTTTGATGGTTACAAGGCTGGGGAGGGAGGGTGAGGGTTATTTACTGACTAGATAGTAGATAAGAATTATCTTAGGTGAAGGAAGGACAGCACACACTACAGGGGAAGCCAGTCCAACTGGACTAAACCAAAGCTAAGAAGTTTCCTGAATACAGTCAAACACTTTCAGGGACAGAGTAGCAGGGGTAAGGGTCTGGGGACCATGCTTTCAGGGGGCATCTAGGTCAACTGGCGTAACAAAGCTTATTAAGAAAATGTTCTGCATCCTACTTTGGAGAGTGGCGTCTGGGGTCTTAAAAGCTTCCAAGCGGCCATCTAAGATGCATCAATTGGTCCCAACCACCTGGAGTAAAGGAGAATGAAGAACACCAAAGACACAAGGAAAGTATTAGCCCAAGAGACAGAAAGGGCCACATAAACCAGAGACTTCATCAGCCTGAGACCAGAAGAACTAGATGGTGCCAAAGCTACCACCAATGACCGCCCTGACAGGAAACACAACAGAGAGTCCCTGATGGAGCAGTAGAAGGATGGGGTGCAGAACTCAAATTCGAGTAAGAAGATCAGGCTTAACGTTCTGACTGAGACTGGTGGAACCCCAGAAAGCATGGCCCTTGGATTCTCTATCAGCCCAGAATTAAAACAATTTCCGAGACCAACTCTTCAGACAGGGATTGGACTGGACTGTGAGACGTGAAGTGACACTCGTGAGGAGTGCACCTCTTAGCTCAAGTAGATACAAGAGACTAAATGGGCAGCTTCTGTCCAGAGGTGAGATGGGAAGGCAGAGAGGCTTAGGAGCTGGTTGAATGGACATGGGGAATCGGGGTGGAAAGGAGGGGTATGCTGTCACAGTACGGGGAGAGCAATTAGGGTCGCATAACAATGTATGTATAAACTTTTGTATGGGAGACTAACTTGAAATATAAACTTCATTTAAATTACAACGATAAAAAAATAAAAATAAAAACATTTTGGTGGTGATTTAAAACCATAACTGATTCTACTTTCATTCCTTTTAAGAACAGAAGTTGTCTGAGCGAGGGCCTCCCTTATACACAGTCCTCCCCAGCAGCACCCCACGCCCTTTGGCAGAGGCTGTGTGTAATGATAAACTTGACACGTGGGCTGCAGCCAGGGCTCACGAGTCTCTTCCATGAGGAGCCACATGTCTACGATCTATCTCGTCATAAAGCCTTTTCAGAAGACTAACTTAAGAAAAATTCATCTGTCACTGCTGCTAAGGTGTGTAGTGCCTTTTCTGGTTTCTTATTAAGACTATAGGGTGACCCAGATGGATGTGAACAAATGAGCCTACAACTAGAAAACTCCATCCAAAAATAAAACAGGTATTAGGAGTTGAAGCTTTTGCTAATTCAGCATGCAAAGCTCCCCTGACTAAGCCCTAAGCCTTATCTTAAAACTATACTCCCCTCTTCAAAAAAAAAAAAAATTCTGGTATATTTAAATAGCTCTCTCATTTACTGTCTGGTATAATCTGCTAAAAGAACTGGTAATAGACAGCTTCATGACAGAAGATGAGACGCCAGCCTCTACCTTTTCAAACTACCTGGAGCCACATCAACTCTGGTTTCATTAGCACCAAGGAAAAGCTGAACTTTTTCACAACTTCAGGAAGCCAGTGTTACTTTAAAAATTCTCTTGGCATCAAAATTAGAGAAAAACCTATCTGATAGTTCTCTTCTACTAGTAATTTTTTCTATACTATCTATACTTTATCCACAAGAAATGAATTAGAGATCCAGACTTTTATAACAGGTCCTAGTCCTATTCAAGTTTATAGAACGGAATAAAGATGCAACAAAACTGCTGATGCAGAATTCTTATCCTTGACTTTTATAGCCTATGAAGACCAGAAATTATTGCTACCTCCCAGATGACATCCAATGGAATCAGAAAAAGAGTTCTTGAAGTACCTACAAATGAACAGCTTTTTACCCAACAGGGTAACAAAACCTAAACAACTTTAATTTCTACTGTTGATGAGAACAGCTCCAATCTTTTTGGAAACTGACAATATCTATTAAAATTTAAAATATATTCTTTGACCCAGCAAGTTTACTTCTGGGACTCTATGCTATAGCAATAAAACCCAAAGTACATAAACACACATGTATAAGGATATTTATTGCAGCATTGTTTATAGTGATTAAAAATCAAGAAACGGAAGCAATTTCCATCAATAAGGGAAATCACCAATGAATTATATTCAATGAAATATTAGGCAGCTATGAAAAAGAGTGAGCTGGATTTCTATGTATTGACCTGGAGACAGGGCCCTGATATGCTGCTACATGAAAAAAGCAAATTGTGTAGAACATTTTCTAATGGTTTAAAAAAAAAAAAAATCCTCTGTATATGTATAAACATACATCTGTGTCTTCTTTTGGTCTCAAAGGTATGAAGGAATTCTCATCACACTATTAAAATTGGTTACCCTCTAGGAGGAGTTGCTGATAGTTTGTTAAGTGCCATCAAGGTGATTCCGACTCATAGCAACCCTATGTACAAAAGAATGAAACACTGCCTGGAGGAGTTAAGAGAGGGAAATTATGAACTCTTTCCTTATACTTCTTATTTGACTCAATACAACCCACTTGTATAATTTTAAAATTCTGAAGTTAAAACACCAACACTTACAATAAAAGCCAGAGCTTTTAATCATTCTTACCTTCTGGGGAAAGGTCAGTAGTTTTAGTAAAACTTGGGGCAGTACGTTTGAAGATCTTGGTTCTCTCTCCTCCCACAACTACCTCTGGTCCAAGTCGAGAGACCAGCACTGCCAGGCTATGGAGAGTAATTGCCACAATGGAATCACTGGTGTCTCGCAGGCCCAGTAATACCTAGAAGGGAATCAGGTCGTAAGTAGAGACAACCACATCGCCTATCTTTTTCTCTCTGTAAACAAAGCAATGGGCTGCACACACTGTGCTTGCTCAGATGAACTTCATTTTCTTAGCTACATGACTCAGCTGCCAGCATGTAGAGCAAGAGAACCTCCAAGCTGAGCCCAGTCAACCCAAAGAATGTGTGAATTAATAAAACAATTCTTGTTTTAAGACACCAAGTTTTGGGTGGTTTGTTACCCAGCAGCAGATAACTGAAGCATCCACCTTTCCCACCCATTACACTGTAAGCTCTTGAAAAAAGGAACAGAGTGTTACATACCTCTACAGCCCCAGTACCTAAACACAAAACCTAGCATAAAACTGGGTCTTACAAATGATTTCTAAATAAATTAATCTCATAGGAAAACAAATTATTTGAAAGATCTCATGTGACTGACAAAATCTTAAAACCTGGAGCCCTTGAGTGAGCAAATTACAGAAGGCTACCTGGTGGCTGATATACAGGATGACAACCACTGATGTGGATAGCCTCATGCTCTTCAATCCCAATTATTTTATGCCATTACCAACTAGACACTCTTACAGTTTATGTTCACAAGGCATTCCACAAATGATTCTTGTGTGTTCATTTCCCTCCAGAGATTAGCAAACACAATTAACTTCTCTCAGTTAAGACCAAACATAGTTTAATTGATTTGCCTGTGTGAATGGAATGGAAATGCAATTCAGATTTCAGCCCTGAGTGTTCCAGAGGCTTCTAAACAACTGCTGCCTTGAGCCTTCTAAGCTACTATAAGAATACTCCGAGACCCTCTTCCTATTTCAGCCCCAAATCACCAGCACGCCCTCTGCCCACTCCACCCTCGGCCTTCCTTGGAGGGCTCCGTCCCTGACCTGCGGCAAGATGACTTTCTTCAGCTGCTCCTGAGTAAAGTGCTCCACATAAGCCTCGATGTGAGCCAGTAGCACCATCCTCACATGCTCCTCGTGAACCTCAAACAGCTGCAGAAGCATGGGGATCACCCGGGACTGGAACAGGGCTGGCGACAACAAGCAAGGGCTTTCCCCCTGCACGTTATCTACCGAGGAAACAGGGTTGGTTACACGTGAAAAAACACTGTCACTTCAGTGGAAGGAGCACTGAGCGTAAGTCATAAACTGAGCCCAGAACTTTACACACTCCAAGTATTCTACACTCTTATTCCTCAAACCAAGGAAAGTTCTTTCGTTGACCCAGAATTACTCAAGGCTTAGTTATTAGTAAGTTCACTCTACCTTGTAGAAAAGATGTTCTTGAAATACTACATATCAAATTTAATATACTACAAAGCTTGTATTTTAACAGAATTTTGAATCAATAACCTTTTTAAGTTGATTATGTTTAATCAGTGAGGGATTTCACATACTAGTGATTACTGTTAACAGTTTTATTTGTAAAACTGGAGGTGCTGAATGCTACAATGGGATGTTGTGCTGGACAGTCCTCTCTTTGTGGTAGTCTTGGTTGTGGTTATCAAACAGATATGCATTAGAATTATTTAGGGACCTTTTATAAAAAATATACCCACACCCTGGCTCTATCCGAGAACCAGGCTTATGGGTAGGTTTTTAAAAAGCTCCCTAGATGACTCAGAGGCACACCTCAGTCTCAGTTCTGAGCAGGAGGAAGAGAGGCTACAGAGGTGAGAAACTGCACTGCTGAGGCGATGGCATCAAAGTAGAGAGGTAAGAAAGGGCTATATTATAAAACCATTACCTGCAACACTGTTTGGTTGGACTGAAATCTTTGAAGGAAATAATTTCGGAAAGCAGGACTATACCTAATTCAAAATTCTATAATAATATATTAAATGCCATATTCTCTAACCTGATATGTTACCATCTAGTGCTATAAAGCTGTAAGTTTCAAAGTAATAATCATTTCACATTCAGAAAAAACTAAAGGCCTCACAAGCAAAATGATCTCAGTGCTTTTCAGTCTTTGCACTGAAACCATAAAATAGGCTGACTGCTACTGGGAAGTCAGGAGGCCCACGGCCTAAATGACTCCAGCAAATGCAGCAGCTCTTTGAAGATGTTTGCCTTTTCTTACACTTCACATGCTTTTCATATTCTAGTCCACAACACAGACTTTTTTTAAATACAGAATTGCTTACTACAGCAAATCTGATTCTCCAGGAAGGTGCTCCATCTTTATCCTGCAGCTCTGATATGCAAGTTTAAGTCAAAGGTATCACATCAGGAGCCAAAAGTTGTTCTTAATTTTTACAACCAGACATTACTAACTATACCATGCAGTAATCTCACTCTGCTTTAATACTAATAGCTGACAAACTCCTTAATTACAATAATACTTTGGGGAAAAAATTCACCTTTTTTGGGGCCAAGCAGATGAGGAAGAAAACTCTTAACAGCTACTGGTTCTGCAAACACCAACTGATTAAGCAGAAGAGGCACCAACCTTGAGGCTATTAATTCCTCTGACAAACAGCTGACTCTGTCCAGCAGAAATCTGAGGGAAAAGAGGAAAGCTGGGGAGACTGCAAGTGACACCCAGTCAAGTTACTTATACAGTTTACACATACAGCTTCCTCCACTTCTATCAAAGTGATACATTTTGAAATTTAGCTACGGAGGGTGAACAGGTCCATCCTCAGGAATTCAAGAAAAACGCAGAAGGCGCGAGGCAAGGCCAGCTTAGTCAACACACATATACCCTCCAATCCAAGCTAGAAAATGTTTTAAACAAATCTCCCTTTATTCATAGCAAAGGATACTCCTTTTTCCTCTAATAAGAGGCTTTCTCATCAATAAAAGTTACTTTCTCAAATATAAAAGATGTAGGATATTAGATTAGAAAGTTTCCATAATAAGCAAAACACAGGCTTTTGTTACTAACCTCACTAAATGTAAAATATATATATACACACACATACTTTGTTAAGAACTACACAGATATTAGTATTAATAAACCCAAAAACCAAAACCAAACCCATTGCCACTGAGTCAATTCTGACTCACAGCGACCCTATAGGACAGAGTAAAACTGCCCCATAGGGTTTCCAAGAAGTGGCTGGGAGACTCAAACTACTGACCTTTTGGTTAGCAGCCGAGCTCTTAACCACTGCGCCCCCAAGGCTCCTTAGTATCAATAGTACTACTATAATCGCCCTTAACAGATCACTTCGTCCCTCCTTTATGAAAAGAACAGGCCACACCACGCAAGCTCTACTTCCAGTCACCAAGGCTGCGAGGGCCTCCTCCCACTGAAGGCCCCACAGAGCCAGAGCTCCAACACTCCTTCTCCTCCAGGACCCAGCAGGCACCCCAATGTGACTGCAGCTCCAGCTGCTCCCTCTACTCCACACTAGCTCCTTCCCTTCAGCCTACAAACATGCTCACATCTCTCTCAGCCTTAAAAAAGTCCTCCTTTGGCTCCATTTTCTCCTGCAGTAGTAACATGTTCTCTCCTCTCAAGGAGGTTTTACCCTGTGTCTTACTCTCTCACCTTCCATTCCCTTCTCAACCAGCTGCAGGCAAACTCACTCTGCTGAAACTGCTCTTGCTAAGACAAGGTTCCATGATTTTCCCGATTGCTCCTCCCTTTCTGAATTCTCTATTCTTCTGAGAACATCACAGCCTTCCTGCCTCTCTCTCAATCTCCTCTGATCGCTTCTTTGTCTCACAATGCACCTTCCCCACCCTTGCCCTTACAAGGCTTGGTGCCCTAGGGATCCACCTCGAGCCCACTGTCCCTTTCATGGTACCCACGTCCTCTGGGAAAATGTCCCTGCCAACAGGTTGATAACACTCTAATATTCATCTCTAGCTCTTCGGCATAAGGCCTCTCCTGAGCTTCAGACCCACCTGGCCAACTGCCCAAGTCCATCTCTATCTGAAGTCCCACAGACACTTGTAACACAACACATTCAACACAGAAGTCATCATCCTCCCAGTATGTCAGGTCCTCCCCTCCAGTATTATTTCAGTTCATGACAATCACTAAGACTTGCCAACTTTACCTTATGTCAGTGGCTTCAGCTTCATTTCTACCATCAACATTGAGACCTTCCTGATACCACCGTATACTAACAATCTAAGTCCTGTATGATTCAAGCCCATCCCCTCCACCAACAGTACAGCCATCAGTCTAAAGGGAGCATCCAACTATGTCACAGCTGCTTCCTCCCCTTCGATGGCTTCAGTGACTGAGGGCTACTGTTTACAAGTGTCAGCAATCCTCACCACCACATATAAGATGCTCACGATCTGGCCCTGCCCACCTCTTAAGCCTCACCTCTCCCCCGTTTGTTCCCCTCACAAACACACAGTCTTGCCTTTGTGCCTCCATTCCTGCTGCCCCTCTGCCTTTTCTCTGCCATCTCATCTGCATCCTCTGTTAGCAGGACGCCCTCTGTGCCCACCCACTATTCAGTGACTACTGGTCCATGCATCTGTTCCTCTTATTAGAGACAGCTATCCCAGGTTAGCAGGAAGCCTGACAAAGAGGAAACAGTCAAAAACACGTCTGACTCGTCTTCTCTAGAATGCCTTATGTGATTAAATGGACTCAATCCAAGTAACTAAATTTAAGGTCTTAATTTTCTAAACTTACTTGAAAAATTCAGTTTTTTCCTCTTCACTCTTCAATGTTAAACTTTTCAAGAAATTCACAATTTCTAGAAAATCATTTCTAAACGTCAAAAAGAAAAAAAATGCAGGACAGCCGATTAGAGGAGCCATGTTAAATACTGAAACCATAACCACAGACCACAGGGTAATAATTTTCAACAAACATTCTCCAATGCCATTTAAAAGATTCTGCTGTAACTAAATAGCTTATGAGACAAATGCTATGGAATAAGCTCACAGGGAATCTAATATTTAACAATATCAAAAAGGAAATCTGTGAAGATGACACAAGTTTAGAAACACACAAAGTCTAACATGCATCATGGTTTTAATAACCATCATAATCATCCAAATTTTTTATCGTTAACAGATGTGGTTACATGGAATATCCTGGGAAGAATGACATGGTTGCCATTATGAAATGGCTCATTCCTAAGTCTCCTTGAGTGAAGTAAAAAGTATTAAAGAAGGTTGGGGAAAGAGGATTTTCTTGTACAAGTCACAGGAATCTTCTCATTTTTTCCCGTTGTAAGTTGTTGAGTCCTTTTTTCAGCAAGGCAGGGATGAGTGTGAGAGGCGTGACCAGGCAGGGGCCCCAAAGCCATGAAGGCAGTGCGCTGCTCACCTCACACTGGACTGCTGACCCTCACTGGCCCAGCATACAACCAGCACCACCTCACACAACAGCCCCGAGAAGCACAGCTCACCACTCAGCTCTCTGCCTCTTATGTCTCCACCTATTTTCCTCTGGCTCAACAGCACAGAAATGGCTCATTTACACAAAGTACCAACGTCTTAAACAAAGTCTAGCCACACCGGCTCCACTGCCCAGCAAGGGATGCCGGTGGATCTCCTCCTCACATGTTTGTCAGGACATCAGTCTCAGTTACTATCAGGAATGGGGCGTGCTTAGTTTTCCTCTCCCCTCTCTATTTAAGTACAATTCTTAGTAAAGAACTCTTACTACACAGAATGAGAGAATGTATTATTGTACAGTAAAGGATTATTCTTTGTAGAGACTTTGTATCAAGATAAATAAAATATTTCTATGAATCACCCAAAAGGACATGAAAATATCTTGGTTCAAATACCCTTATAATGGGAAAGGTTTTGAACAGTTTCTCTGAGATATAAATGACAACTATAACCCCAGTAATTACACTGAAAATATCTCCTTTGCTTTGTTTGATAATGTACCCCAGCCCTATCGTAATTTCCCCTACTTTAGGGATGATACTAGCTTTCCCTTCACTCTGGCTTTTCCCAGGCTCTCCTATTGCAAACACATGAGGATCTGTAGTTTCAAAAGTGACATAAGGTTGACTTTGCTAATACAAGTCAAGGACATGAACCAATCTGTGGGGAGCTCTGTAGTCATGGAAAAAAAACATGAAGGACACAGAACTAAAATTAACCTCGAGGAGAGCTTCAAATACATCTCTGAATCTAGCAAATGCATGAAGTTACGCCATGCTCACCCTCTAAAGCCAGTTTTTGGTCTTTCATCATGTATTACTAAACAAAAACCATCCCTCTGCCTGAAGAAAAATAAGCTCATTTCCCCCCGAAAGGAGCAAATTCAACAATAAGAAACTCGTATCAATAATACAATGGCAACAGAAAGGGTAGGCAATATTTATTAATTTTCTCAATTAACTTACAGCTACAAAGCCCTGGACACTGCCTCACTGCTTCATAATCAGAAGCCCTAATGAATCGAGCTGTAGTTTCTAAACCTAACCTCCATGATAATTGAGGATTTCTAAACTTACTATCTGTGATAGGAATCTGAGAGGTATCTTAATTCCTCCATTTTTTCCTGCAGACCTAACTGAATCTCTCCTAATAATTAATAACAACAACGAGACGGCATCATTGAGTCCTGCAAAGCCCACCACAGGACATGATGTACAGGAGACGTGGCAGCAGCCAGTGTGGCACACAGACCCTCACCTGAAGAAGTCATGGGACAGTAAAGTGCACAGCGCTGGCCGGCAGTCTGGAATGTGGTTCAGCAAAGTTGAGTGCAAGGTCTGTTGAAAGCTGGAGAGAATGTCCGCTGAAACTGAAATCCAGACCTACAGTTAGTTTCCAATGCCTTCTCCCTCCTTTCAGACCTCTATAGCTGGAGGCTGACGAGAGCAAAAACCAACCTGCAAAAACCCAAACAAAGAAAGCCCTGGCTGTTGCTAAACAGCTTCCTGCTTGCCTAAGCCAAACTCCTTGGCAGGTGTTGAAAGTTGCCCTTCCAACACGCCCACCCCTCCCCGGGAGCCTCCTTCCTCTAACCCCTCAATTTCTCAGTTGTCGGTTTAACTCAGCTCAGGCCCAAAGAGGAGGAGTAAGTGGCAGATGTGACAGCCTTTGTCAACCAGGTTCCTCATCTGAACCACCAAACACACAGTTATCTGAGGGCCTGCTGTTCAGTTCCCCAAGGACAGCGCCAAGGACAGCACCGTTCCAGCTGCTTGAGAGAGGAGTCACTTCACACCACACAACGGGTGCCCTAGGGTCTGGCTTACTCAGACAGTGAGAACTTAGAGCCAGCAGCCGCATGGTACTTGTGGCATCAGAACCCTGCACAAGCCTGGGAGGAGAAACTGCACTGGAAGCTCCAGTCTGCCCGCAGCTTTAGCAATGTGAGGTAAACGCAGTTAGGGCCTCATGTGGCAGGTGCCCCAGTGAGCCTGATGGGTGTACAATTAAAGGGCTGGAGTGTTGGAGGAGAGGAAGCAGGCTGTGAAGCGTGCCATCAGAGAGCATGGAAGAGAGGAAAGCAATGTCTTTAGCAGCCTGGGATTTAAGGGGCAATGAAAGAAAAAAGTAACACACAAATTATGTCAAGAAAAAAATTAAAAGGTCTTTGAAAGAATAGAGAAAAAGAATTGTTAAGTCTTATTTAGAAATTAATTTAATAATAATTTTGAATCTTATTCCGTTTTTTAGATTACGTACAAATCAATAACCCATTTACTTACTGGCTGGTTCAATAAGCAAGGCAGAGTCTTTGCACCACAAATACTAGCATGGATTAATAAGATAATCAAGCATTATACTGACAGCCACAGTTCTAAGTGTTTCTTGGGTAAAATTCTTTTAACTATGCAAACTAATGGAACCCAAAGCTTCCTTCCTTGCTGCTGTTAATGTCTGCCCTAAACCTGGACACGGACAGGCTCCTTCCCAGGAATGGAGACTGCAGTCCTCTCCTTCCACTCAGGACAGACCACGGGCCGTTTTCCTCCTCATTCTGGGGGATACGGTAGTATAACTCCAACTCACCCTGTTCACTTAAGACTGTGAGCAAACTTCCCACCAATGTTCCAAATGAATAGGCGTCCCGGGCATGTCCATGGGACTCTGGCAGAGTTGTGAATTCTGGAGACTAAAAGCAGTAAAGACCATTAAAACTAGGGGATCTGCCTTCAAGTCGTGTCCAATTTTCTCTGAAGCACTTTCTCCAGAGGCATAGTGAGCAGGAGCTACAGGGGAGCATCTGCCCTGGGCGCAAGCCCAAGGGGGCACCAGATGAGGCCAGCCAGCGAATCTCCACCACGCCCCCTCAACAAGGGGCCCCCACCATGAAAACTTAGAGATTGCCCCTGGGCACTTGTCACCCTCCCTACGCCTCTGACTGTCTCCTGTGTTTACATTTATCACACTCAATGTGAACTACACCATACCACACACTAAGCTGTAGGCTCTTAAACCAGTAGTGAATGAAATTTACCAGAGATTTAAAATATCAAAACAGGAGCAGAAAGGAAAAAAAAAAAAAAAAAGATCAGAGTATATGTCTCTGGTTTTCAAAACTATTTTAGCTGCAACCCAGAATAAAAAATTTATTTTACATCATGATCCAGTATAGACACATACATGTAAATACATACATAATGGAATCAAAAGTTTCACAAAATAATACTTAGACTTGATACCTAAGAAGTCCAATGATATTTCCTGTTTTATTCCATTTTATTTTTTTCAGAATACTGATCAGGATCCCTTAGTATATATACATAATACTGATTTGGATAAACCTTATTCATTTCAAGTCTTAGGTCTACAATGAAGTTCATAGCTGAGTTTATATAGCCTGTAAAGCACACTAAATGTATTTTGGGGATTCAACGTGTATTTACAGTGGTTAAATAATAACAAGTTAAGAGGGAGCAAGGAGCCCTGGTGGTGCAGTGGTTACAGCACTTGGCTATTAACCAAAAGGTCGACCGTTCGAACCCACCAGTTGCTCCGCAGAAGAAAGATGTGGCAGTCTGCTTCCGTAAAGATTTCAGCCTTGGAAACCCTATGTGGCAGTTCTACTCTGTCCTACAGGGTCGCTATGAGTCGGAATCAACTTGATGGCAGTTGGTAGATTTCGGTTAGAGGGAGTATCTGCTTTTGAATTTATTAGTAAATATTATCTTCTTTACCAGTACCGTAACATTAATCACCATTCTCCTACACATCTGAGAATCCTAACTAATGGCCAGGTAGGCAGATGAATGGCTTGCGTAAAGCATAGTAGAAGGCTGGGATGCTGCTTCTCCAACTATTATGGCTTCCAGCAAGGCAACTACAAAAACTTATCCTAACATGGGCATGAATCACCTGTTCTGTGCACCCTGAGGTCTCTCTCACTTCAGACAACACCGTAAGTGTCCATATGACCAAAAATGTATGCTGGTATCAGAAAAAAGGCTCCCTAGCTGTGGTCACAAGATTAATCTCAGAAACCATCAAGACCAGAAGAATTATGGGTATCTATAACTTAGTAAAGAAAGGAGTAGGCAGAGGAAAGTTGTTTTAAGTCTTCTGCTTAGTTACACAATTAAGACTTCGTTCATGTGAAATAAATCCTCTTACCGTCTCTTCAGGAGGAATAGATGCTGGGTCTCTTACTGACTGAATACTCCTCAGAAACTGGACAGAGAAATAAATTAAGGAAAATAATTCACATACATGTTTGGTGAGCCAATCTCTTACACCAAGTCACAAAAGCAATGCAATGGAAACAGCACCTATGAAACCTTCAAACCAATGTCATGCATTAAATACACAAATTTAAAATCTTCCTAATTAAAAAATGCAAATGTGCTGGTACAGCACAAACCTTAGTGGAAAATAAATGTTAGTTTCCTTTCCTCTCCATTTCAGCTGGTTTAACAGACACCCTCTGCTGTTCATGGGTATCTCATTGGATCTCCCTATGTGGAAATCAGGAGTACCATCTTCTCATCCTACACATATGTTAACAAATAAGAGGCTTTTCTAGCAAATATCAAATCTATCATGAATTGTCTCACTGAATTAAGTCAATCATATAAGGCTTGCTGCCACATGAGACAGAAAAGCTGAGGCCCTTATGAGGTAAAGAGGCACAACCAACATCCACAAAACAAGCACACTGATCTACTCTTTCAAAGGTTATTTCTGATGCACTTATATGTCCGCAACACCATTTAGGCCATTAGAAATACAAAATGAATGCAATCAGTTCCCTGCCCAGGTAGGTGTTACTAACCTAGAATGTAAACTAAGAACTTCAATAACATGTGCCGAGTGCCACAGAGCACAGAGGAGTGATCATCTTGCTGGGTAGGGGGTGACAGGGGAGGGTTTCACAGAGAGGGTACCGATCTAGATCTCAGATGAGTTTACATTTTCCAGAGAGCTGCGAGGAAACAAAACACTGCAGTAGCGGAACAGCACACAGAGGAAGAAGAGGGTAAAGGACTCCAGCACAACTGAGGACATCCTGGGCTGCAGGGAATAGGATGTGACCAAAGTGCAGCTTAAGAACTGTGCAGTGAGCAAGGGATCGTGAAGGACCTGATACACCATGGTAAGGCATATTGGAATATACCCCCACAGCAATCAGTACATGTTAAGCTATGTTATACTAACTAAACATAAAGTGAATTCAGAGAAGAAAGTGATTAACAGGGGCAGAAATAATCAGAGTCATCTTCATGGTGGAAGTAGCATTTGAACTGAGCAAGAGGCCTTAACAGTGCAAACTAGACAAAAGTCCAAGTTAAGTGTGGAAGCCACAGCTAGAGAATACGGGAAATTAAGGCTGGGCCAATAAGTCACACAATAAGCCACTGCTTCAGTAGGGGTTATGATGGGAGTTCTGGGGTGGTGGTTGTTTTTAGAGAGAGTAAGTCTAGCAGCAACATGCAAAATGATGAAAAGAAACAAAACAGGGAATAGAAAGGTTCGTTAACTCAGTAGGGAAATATGTAGATCTCTTGTCAGAGAAAATTGGAAGAAGTACCACAGGCAGCAGCACACAGCCCACTCAGAGGAGTTAAGATGCACAGGTCCTAATACCAGCGGTTATGACATAATGTATGACTTTGGGCAACATTTCTTGAGCACCACTATTCTAGGTGGAGAAGTAAAGATAAATATGAGACTATTCCACACTCAAGGAGCTCAACTGTTGGTATGTAACCAAACGTAATGTAAACGTAAAGCATTAAGTGGTGTGACAGAATTAAGTGCAGGGTACCCTGGGGACAGAGAGAAGCGGCCTCTCATTATGACATTGGAACAAACCATTTTACCTCTTTCAGTCTCAGGCTCCTCATATCTAAAATGAGGAGAAAGGAATAAATAACCTCTAATACTACTATGAGGAATAAAATCCTACAGTGCTATAGATACAGGCACTGGAATAAAATTCAAGTGTCCAAAGATAAGAAAGACTAAAGGAAGGCCTCCAGGCAGAAGTCACCTTCTATTAGGAAGGTGATCAATCCTGAGTAACAAGAAGCCTACTGCCCAGCTCACCTCTGGTGTGGCCTCAGGAACTTTGCAGACAGTCTCCATGCCGCCTAACTTCCAATGGCCGTCTTCACTCACAAACACAGATGACAAGCAGACGTTGTTGTGTGTTAGGTTTCCCTGGGAAAAAAGAAAAGGAAGAAGACTGCCACTCCGATTTTTGAACTAGAAGTTTTAAAAAATAAATACTAATAACAAAAAAAGATTATGACTAGCCTTCCTACTTGTGGCATAATAAATGCAACTATAATTTTAAGAAATGACAAACTACATGAGCCTGCTTAAGCATTATGAGATTAGAAAAAAGGAAAAATGCAGTGGAGAAGCTTGTACTCATTATCTTCCCCACCTGGTGAGAAGGCTAATAAAGACATTAAAACTATTAAACAGATACAACCACATCCCCATTTCTAAAGGGGTCAAGAGATACCAGTCTCCTTAAACATACACTTACAAGTCTTTATAGCCTATACTGTTTGCTATTCAGTGCCTTTAAAAATAAAATTTATCTTTGCTCCCAGAAGTCATTTTATTAATTTTCTCCCCTCAATGCTTTCTCACCTACATTCTATCACGAACCCAGATCCACTTCACCTGAAATCTTGTCAGGAGACATAAAAAAAATTCTGCCTGAAGAAGAGGAAAATGGAATGATAAGGACCACCAGAAATACCCTACAGATCACTAGAAGAGCCAATTTTAAAACTATAAAAATAGTACGGTCAGATAAGTAAAAGGGAGGGAGAAAATGAAAACAGGGTTCAAGTATGTAAGTTTTTTCCAAACCAGAAATCATCCCAGTAGACAAAAGAGCACCTTAATATTCTAGCCACTAGATTAAATACGTAATGGAGTCCTGGTGGCACAGTGGTTAAGAGCTCAGTTGCTAACCAAAAGGTTGGCAGTTTGAATCTACCAGCTGCTCCTTGGAAACCCTATGGGGCAGTTCTACTCTGTCCTATAGGGTCGCTATCAGACGGAATCGACTCAATGGCACTGGGGTTTTTAGATCATATATGTACATGTTTTCATATAAAACATATATATATATAAAGGAAGGTTTAGAACAGTATGTATAGTAGGTTTCCATTTGAGGAAAAATAAAGGGGAAGAGACATATGAATATTTGTTTAATATGCACAAAGTACATCTATGGAGTAATATAATGATAACCATGGTTACTTCTGTAGAAAGTTAGGGTATTGGCCTCGGGTAGGAGAGGGACTTACTTTTCCCTGTATGCACTTTTGTACTGTTCTAACATTTCCCCATGGGCATGTACTTTCTCCAACATGGAAAATATTCCTACCCAGTGAAGCTTTAATAATTCTTGCTATTATGAGAACTCTTAAACATACAGGTATCCACATTATTCACAGATTCCATATTTGCAAATTCACCTACTCAACGACATGTATTTGTAACCCTAAAGCCAATCCCCGTGGTGTTCCTGCAGTCGCTACAGGCATTTTGAGTTGCCTGATGAGCACATTCCCAGCTGAGGTCAAACAGGCTGGTTTGGTGTTCACTAATTCAGTGTACACAGGGACTTCACAGAGCACACCTACCACAAATAACAGGAACTGGCTGTACTTTTAAGGGACCATATATCCAACCTGGTATTTGGAGAGTCTGTCTTCCATTAATAGAAACACACACACATTAAGATGAATCAAGGAAGGTAAGTTCTTCTAACCTATGACTGGTGTGTACTAATCCTGGGGAACTCCCAAGGACTTTAATGATTCAGAATGTAAATATCATTAAGAAATAGTACCTAAATAATATTGTCAAAAATAGGCCAGAAGTAAACTTAGGAACTACCACATTATCCCCTTAATAGCAAGCATTACCAGAGAGCAAAGCATACTGACTACCTATAGTGTTAGGGGGCTCTCTCAGTTGGCTTCACCTACTCGAATGGTAAGACGTATGTATGAGCTCTGCTCTTCCTAAGAAATGGTCATTTCTTTCTCAAAATCCAAAATGGGAAAAAACTCCTGAAAACAAATAAGAGCTTTGGTCTACAGCAGCCCTGATGTTAAACCTTTATTTCTGTCTCAGTAACAAATGCCAGTTGCAGCTAATTTTAGGTAAAGACTTACCCAATACCAGGGCTTCGAACCAGTTCAGCCATGGCCAACAAAGCGAAACTGGAACAGACCTGAATTTTAAAAATTTGAGTGATCCAGAACCATAACCAGAACAGGAAAAATTACGGGTTGAAGCCCTGGGATGGGAGACTCTAAAGAGGCATAGTGAGCCCTTTTAGGAGGCTGATATGTGTAACTGGGTTATTGCCAGGACTGAGGAACATGACATAAATTCAAAGCGGCATGGTCAGCCACCATCTTGAGCAGGGCACTGCTATTTCTGACTCTGTGCAAAATCCATCAGGCAAGAGATTTGTTTGTTATGCAATGCATACACTGCCATTGTTTCCTAAGAGGGAAATTAAGCTTCCAGCAGGGCTTCGACCCATAATTTTTCCCATTCTGGTTATGATTCCAGTTCCTGTTCCGGTGTTGCTTCCTCAGCCATGATTAAACCAGAAAGAACTGGTTAGACGTCCTGCCCAAAATTAGAGGTAGACTTTACTAAACTGAAATAAAGTTCTATAAATAACTGCCCAGGAATGGAGAACCAGCTGCCCATTCCAAAAACCGTCTGTCTGTAGTACCCCTTGTGCCTTCCAATGTGCTGTTTTTCCTGAGAAAGCTTTCTAATAGTACTAGTAACTTACAATGTCCACACACAGCGTAACTGACAAGCATACCACACATATTACCCTGTGTGGTCTACATCAAAGCCTGTGAGGCAGACTGTGCTCAGGTTACTTACTCTGTCATGAAGGAAGATGAGAGCCAGCAGTATGTCATAGATCCCAGCACAGACCTCTGCAGAAGACAGTGTTTCCAAAGCCACTTCCAGAGGCTGCACTCGCTCAGTGACAAGATGAATGCCATCTGCTTCCACAGTACAAGACAAAAATCTTAGCAAGCAAGGGTGACGTAGTGTCTTCAAGTGCTTTAAAAATACAAACAGAAGTGTAGATGAAATTAATGACTATAAGTCAGATTAATTATAATATCATGTACACATCTCAATAAAAGTCAGAAAATGAATACTTGCATTCAAGGTCCTCTCCCAGCCCACTACTTCCTCCTCAACCCTCCAAATTTCAAATAAGCAGAAAGGAATTAATGATTTGTTCTGACGCTATTCAATTACCAACATTTAAGTAACTCTACAGAGACTTCCAGTTCCATTACGGCAGCGTAAGCCGCCTAAAGCCCAGACCACCCAACGATTACAGCTATAAACTCTGAATAAAATATCCTAAATAATACCTGAGAACTCTGAAAAGTAAACAAAAGTGTGCAAACTATGGGGAGGGCGGTCAAAACTTGAAGAAGTGACATCCATGGGAGCAAGGTTCCTGATTTGAAGATTTTCTCCCCATCGTGGCTATACACTGACGACAGGCTCCACTGTGGAGTAGTTTAGCACAGGTGAGCTACAATACAAACACTGACATCTTTACGGCTAGACAAATCACAGACAGGAACCCAGCAAGATGGAGTGTGAAGGGGATATCCCAGAGGGAAGAGAGCTGGACAAGGAGATGCCCTAATTTTATGTACACCCACACAATTCTCAGACAAACCCCTGAGCCAAGCATACATAGAACAGACACAAACCAGCATACCGAAGTTTTCTGAGATTTGATCTACTATCCACAGGAGAGGGGGGGTGAGATAGTTAAAAAAAACTTGAAGCCTTAACCTAACCGGGTTAACTGCCTGCTAAACTAAAAAACATCAATTCTCTCAAGAGAATTATAATAGAACCAAGAGTTGACACAACATGACATTCAAAATATTCAGTATGCGATCCAAAACTACTCAACATACAAAGAACCAGAAAAATGACCAATTTTACATGGAAAAGACAACCAATAAATGTCAACCATAAGATGACTCACCCAGATGTTAGAATTATCAGAGAGAATTTAAAGCAGTTGTATAACCATTCCCCTAGAGGTAAATGATAAACGGTTATGAAATAAAATGAAGTTCTCATCGGAGAACTGCAAACATAAAAATTAAATAAATGGCAATTTTGGAAATGAAACAGATTTGAAAGAAAAAAAAATCAATGGGTGGGCTCAATAATGGAATTAAGATTGAGTAAAGTGCTGGTGAACCTAAAGATAGACCTACAGAAATTATACAATCTAAAGAACAGAGAGGAAAAAAAAAAAGTTCGAAAAAATGAACAGCCAACTTTCGTGCAACAAGATGCTATAGACAGAAGTGACACACCATCCCTCCACAGCAAAGATCCGAAAAACTAAGTCAAACACACAGACACATCAATCCCAAAACCCTAAGCATCAAATGAAGAGATGAAGAATTCAGCCAAGCACCGAATGGAATAACAAACTGACTGAGAACAGAGAGCAAGCAGAGTTACATGAAGAGGTCCCCTATCAGCGACCGCAGCACAGATATGCCCTCTTGGACACCTATTGGAGATCGGCGAACATGGGGTACGAGAAAGCAGCTTCACAGAAATTCCAGCAGGAAAGTACAACCGGTAACCAGTGATACACGCTTTCTCACCCCCCACCCTTCTTCACACCACCCTCGGCCTCCTCCACTTTCTAGGGCCACAGTCTCTTGGCTGGTGTCACTTAGATTCCACCCGCCCATACTGGCCGGCTCCCTGAGTGCCATCTGTTGGCTGCTGCTGTTGCTTTTTTCTACTTCTTTAGATTTCTTCCTTACCTCTCACCATCTCCCCCTCTTTTCTCTCGAATACCTGGCTCCATATGCCAACTATGCTTCTTCCTGAAAGGCTGTGAAACACCGCTCGAATGTGACACTGCTTCTCGGCCCATGCCACCATGCTGGTGGGATCCCCAGAGCTTTTTTTGTTTGTTCTGATCCGTTCTGTTTTGATTTGTTTCTTTTTCTTTCCTCAGGTTGGGGGCACCTTCTAGCCGGGCAACACAGCTAGTCCCTTACACTGTGAAGATGCACAATGATATCCCTGGGAACATTTCTTTTTTCTTGTTTTGGTTTTGTATTTTTTTGTTTTTCTTGCATCTTTGTTTTGTTTTCTTCTCTCTCTTTTTCCGTTTTCGTCTTTCGTCATTTCCAGTTTCTCGTCTCTCTATACTTACTTTCTCTTCCTGTCTCCTGAATACCTGGCGCTGTGTGACACCTCGACTATCCATTCTAGTCAGGCTGTACTTCACCGGCTGGAAATAACTTCCCAGTTCTAGCAGCCACACTGGTGAGATCCCTAGGGGCTTTTATTTATTTATTTTTCTCTAATTTTTTTAATTCATTTTTTTCCTTTTACACTTTTTTTTGTTTTTCTCCGTTTCTCAGTCTCTAATATCTTCACTCCAACAGCATGCTCCCTTAGCACTCTTTTTTTGTTTGTGTTATGTTTCTAGCTCCTGCTCCTCTCTCCTCTCTCCCATACCCATCTTAGCTCCACACATCACAATCTCCACCCTCTTTCCTGCCTACCTGCACTATGCACTGAACTTCACACTCCCAAGCAGGACAGGCATGGCCTACTGGAACCTGCTGTGCACTGATTCCCGGCCTGCCCTGTTGGCCCTAGTACATGCCACAAACAAGCCATGCCAGCAACTCCCCTTCAGCTGGACCTGCCCTGCTGTACCATACCTGAGTGACTGACCATGCCCATTGGAGAAGAAGGTGAAAAGTATCATGCCCACAGACGAGCAAACAACAAAGAACACATGGCCCGCCTACTCAGGTATAACCAAATAAAACAAAAAAGCAGGATGAAACAAACAAATCTACAATCAATAAATGAAGAAAACCACCACTGAATGCCCCAAAGGCAGCACACAATATCAAAACATTTACAAAAACAGGACAGGATGGTTCCAGTAGGCATCCAAAATAAAACACCAAATGACCTTCCAGTAGAAGAAATGGCACTAGACCTAACTGATAGGGCTTCAAGTCTCTAACATTCAGAATTATCCAAGAGTTGAAGCAAAAAAGCAGACAAAAATGAGGAAAAAATAGACAAATTCATGGAAAAGGCAGACAAAAAATAGAAGAATTCAAGAAAATAATACAGGAACAAGATGCCAAAATGAATTCACAACTAGAAATCATACAAAAACAACAATCAGGAATCCAAAAGATAAACAACAAGATTTCAGAAATGGACAGTGTCATAGAAGGGCTGAGGAGCAGGTCTGAAACGATGGAAGACAGGACCACTGAAAGTGAAAACAAACACTTGGATAGAACTCTGTTTGAGGAAAAATCAGAAAAAAGAAAGGAAAAATGAAGAGACCCTCAGAATTATGTGGGATACAATCAAAAGCAAAAATTTTCGAGGGATTGGTATTACAGAATGGGAGGAGAAAACAGAAAACACAGAGAGGATCATAGAAGAACTGCTGACAGAAAACCTCCCCAATATCATGAAAGATGAAAAGCTGACCATCCAAGAAGTTCAACAAACACCATATAGGACAGACCCCAAAAGAAAATCACCAAGACATATCATAATCACACTCACCAAAGCCAAAGACAAACAAAGAATCCTGAGAGCAGCTCAAGAAAAACAGAAAGTCCCATACAGAGGAGAAACAATAAGACTATAAGCTCAGATTATTTAGCAGAAACCATGCAGGCAAGAAGGCTATGAGATGACATATATAAAACTTTGAAAGAAAAAAATTGCCAGCCAAGAATAATATATCCTGAAAAACTCTCGTTGAAATATCATGGTGAAACTAGGTCATTTCCAGATAAACAAAAATTAAGGGACTATGTAAAAACCAAACCAAACTTACAAGACTTATCAAAGGGAGTCCTTCAATCTGAGAACAAACATCAGACCACAGGCTGAATACAGGACACAGGATTGTACTAGCCAGATACCAACCTAGGAAAAGAACTCTTAAGGACTATGCCAAATCAAAAGAATTATAAACAGGGAACCAGAGACATTAATCTGTAAATGACAACAGCATCAGAACAATAAAAGAGGGAATAAACGGTGTAAGTATAAAAGCTTCTAATGGAGAGGAAGGCAAGGCAATGCCAAGTAATAATAGACTAGTTCAAATCTAGGAAGATAAAGGTAAATTTCAAGGTAACCACAAAGAAAGTTAACAAACCTACTCATTAAAATAAAGAAGAAAAACATAGTCTCAGTAAAAACAAAACCTACAAAAAAAAAGAAATGGAAAAAATAAAATCCAGAAACAAAACGAACTCAGCACAGGAGAGTGAGAGGAACAAAGAAAACGTCAGCAGCACAAAAAAAAAAAAAAAAAAGGCACTACAAAATGCAATCTCACTCCTAGGAATATATCCTAGAGAACTAAGAGCCGTTGCACAAATAGACATACGCACATCCATATTCATTGCAGCACTGTTCACAACAGCAAAAAGATGGAAACAACCTAGATGCCCTCAACAGATGAATGGATAAACAAACTATTGTACATACACACAATGGAGTATTATGCAAAGATAAAGAACAATGATGAATCTATGGAGCATCTCGTAACATGGATGAAACTGGAGGACATTATGTTAAGTGAAATAAGTAAATCACAAAAGGACAAATAGTGTATAAGACCTCTACTGTAAAAACTCATGTAAAACTTTACACACAAAAAGAAACAATCTTTGTTGGTTATGAGGCATGGCAGGGGTGGGGGGGAACTAAATAGACAATAGGTAAGTGGTAACTTTGGTGAAGGGTAAGACAGTACACAATACTGGGGAAGCCAGCACAACTGTACAAGGAAAGGTCACAGAAGCTCCACAGACACTTCCAAACTACCTGAGGGACTGAGTTGCTGGGCAGAGGGCTGTGGAGACCATGGTCTCAAGGAACATCTAGCTCAACTGGCATAAAACAGTTTATAAAGACAATGTTCTACATTCTACCTTGGTGAGTAGC